GACTCGATGGCAGCTAACAACAACAACAATTGATGGTCTGTTCTACAGTCTTCCCCTGGCCTTGTTTTGACTGATGATATGGAGCTTTTCCATGTTCTCTTTCCACAGATGCAGTCAATTTGATTTCTATGTATTCCATCTGGTGAGGTCCATGTGCATAGTCATCTCTTATGCTGTCTAAAGAAGGTATTTGAAATGAACAAATCATTGGTTTTGCAGAATTCTATCATGCATTCTCCAGCTTCATTTCTACCACCAAGGCCTTATTTTCCAACTACTTATCCTTTCTCTTTGCTCCCAACCTTTGCATTTCAATCACCAGTAATGACCAATACATCTTGATCAATTGCAAGTTTGATCAATTTCAGATTGAAGAAGTTGGTAGAATTCTTGTATTTCATCCTCACTGATTTTAGTGGTTGGTGTGTAAATTTGAATTAATAGTGGTATTAACTGGGCTTCCCTGTGGGAGCATGCATATTATCCTATCACCTACAGCATTGTACCTCATGAGTGATCTGGATATGTTCTTTTTGACAATGAATGCAACACCATTTCTCTTCAATTTGTCATTCACGGCATAGTAAACCATGTGGTCATCAGATTCAAAACGGTCAATACCAGTCCATTTCAGCTCACTAATGCCTAAGCTATCGATGTTTATGCATTCCATTTCATTTTTGACAACTTCCAATTTTCCATGATTCATACTTCATACATTCCATGTTCCGATTTTCAATGGATGTTTACAGCTGTTTCTCTTCATTTTGAGTTGTGCCCCATCAGCAAATGAAGGTCCCCTGGCTTTACTCCATTCTCGTCATCACGGTCAACTCTACTTTGAGGAGGCAGCTCTTCTCCTGTCACATTTTGAGTGCCTTCTGGCCTGAGGGCCTTATTTTCTGGCACTGTATTTGACCGTGAGTGTTTCTCTGCTATTCATAAGGTTTTCAGTGACTAGCGATTCGGAAGTAGTTTGTTACTCTTTCTTCCTAGTCTGTCTTTGTCTGGAAGCTCATCTGAAACCTGTCCTCCATGGGTGACCCTGCTGATATTTAAAATACTGGTGGCATAGCTTTCAGAATCACAGCAACTCACAAGGCACCACAGTCTGACAAACTGACAGACAAATGGTGGCTACATTTACTATGTCATAATAAATGTTGTTCTAGATATTAAGTATACCATTTCATTTAATATTCCTAATAACCCCAGGATGTAGGTATTATAATTTGCCCATATTTTACAGAGAAAACATTAAGAGTACAAACAGACTAGAAATTTGGCCTAAGATTACAGAGCTAGAAAGTTGCAGAGACCAGGATTCTGATGTTAGTCTCATGCTCTAATAAATATATTGGTGATGGTGGTGGTTATGTACCATGGAGTCTGTTCTGACTCAGAGTGATCTTGTATAGGGTTTCCTAGGCTGTAAGTCTTTATAGGAGCAGAAAGTCTCATCTTTCTGTGGAGCGATTGATTCAATCTGGGCTGCGTTTACGGCTCCTTCTAGTATTGTTGTTATGTGCCGTGGAGTCGGTTCCGACTCATAGCGACCCTGCACAGGGTTTCCGAGGCTGTAAATCTTTACGGGAGCAGAAAGCCTCATGTTTCTCCCACGGAACGGCTGGTAGTTTCGAATTGCCGACCTTGAGGTTCGCAGCCCAATTCGTAACCACTACGCTACCAGATCTTCTTCTAGTAAGTATGTTGTTGTTGTTGTTGTTGTTAAGTGCCGTCGAGTCGGTTCCGACCCATAGCGACCCTGTACAGGGTTTCCGAGAGTGTAAATCCTTACGGGAGTAGAAAGCCTCATCTTTCTCCCGCGGAGCTGCTGGTAGTTTCGAACCGCTGGTAGTTTTGAACCGCTGACCTTAAGCTTCGCAGCCCGATTCGTAACCACGACGCTACCAGAGCTCCTTCTAGTAAGTATACCGTACTCTAAATATGACTAACAGTCCCTGATGGATCTGGTTTAATAGGTAAACAATCTTTAATAGCAAAGATTGTCCTTACTGAATGTCACAGAAACTGAAATGAGGATTGGCTCAGAGTATAATTATTGAGTACCTAGTTTTGCACAGTAACATGACAAAGTTCTTGCCTTTAATGAGGGCATGACCTATTAGCATTTTCTTTGGTCATTTATTTCTCTATCAGCTTAATCACTGATTCACTGATCCAATTTTAGAAAGTATTAAGCGTTTCTTTTCTTTTAGCACTATGCTTCCTAGGATTAATTATGTTAAATTTATGCACTAAGTGTGGGTAGCAGTTGAAATACTATGGAAAGCAAAACAAAGAAAAGGGCCACCAATTTGTAGAATGATTTTCACCTGAAATGCTGTCTTGACCCCAGAGCAGATGGAAATTCCTCCTGAAGCTTCTGTGGGTAAACTCTCTGAGAGCTTGATCCTTTCATTGCTGCCTGTTATATGGGTTAGTTTACTTTTGATGTGGGCAGTACTATCAAAGGCAACGATTCCAACCCAAGATCCATTTTCAATTGTCTGCAGCAGGAAATGTTTGGCTGCTTGATTCATTCGATTTAGGCGATTAAAACTCTGAATAAAACAGAACAAGAACCATAGTCATGTGATCATCCACTGGAAGGAAAGAACAGATTTCATAAAATAAGTGAACAACATTTATTTGTAAGATTTTTTTCTATGTACAATAATTCTGAAAGAAAACCATGGTCAATTTTTTCAACTGCTAAGTTTCAAAGCCATAGTTCTCTGTGTTATTGTTATTGTTGAGTGTCACTGAGTTGGTTCCGATTCATAGTGTACTGGGTTTCCCAGGCTACAAATTTTTGCCGGAGCAGAACAGCTCATTTTTACTCCCGCCCAGCTACTGGTGGGCTCAAACCTCTCATTGTGGTTCTCAGTCAAGTGCTCAATCCAGACTGTAGTAGGTTTCAATAATAGAGATCAGAATTCCCTTACCCACTGGAGAGTGGTGGTGGTGGTGGTGATGTCCTGTGGAGTCGGTTCCGACTCGTAGCGGTTCCTGTACAGGGTTTCCGAGGCTGTAAATCTTTTCGGGAGCAGAAAGCCTCATCTTTCTCCCGCAGAACAGCTGGTAGTTTCGAACTGCTGACCTTGAAGTTCGCAGCCCTATTCCACTAAGCTACCAGAGCTCCTTTTAGAACTGCTCAAAAGGTGAAGCTTAACACAGCTGCAGTGGCATTCTTAGAGTTCTACTCCCTACTTCCTATTTCCTTTGTACTTGCTAATCTCACTCAGAAAGCTTCACCAATGGCTTGATTGGCATGGACTCTGGTAAATTGTTGTTGTTGTGTCGATTCTGAGGAAAAGCTAGTGAGCTTGAACAACCGACCTTGCAGTTCAAACAGCTTTGCAGACTGGGGTCTTAGCCACAGCGCCACACCAGCGGGCTGCATATCTCTCTTTCCTAGGTAATTGCTAGAATGTAAGCCTCTTTTGTATTTTTGTCTTCTTTCTCATTAGTACATTGGTGCTATTTCCACCAACCTCACTCTTACTGCTTCCCTCCCCATCCAGATTTCCTTCTGTAAAGAGTGAAGAGTTTCCTTAGCCATTTAACCACCCCCAACCCCCTATAACCAGAAAAACAAAGGGCGGGAAGCTTACCGCCATGTTTTCAGACTTATCCAGAACTAAGCACACAACTCTGTGACTGGTCCTCATCAGTGAGAAAGCAGTTGGAGGGGGTGATTCTACCATAGGCATGCTGTTTTTAAAATCCTCAGAATTGCTGATCACCTCCCATGTGCTTCTGGAATTGCACTTTTTGTTTTGTAGACTTGGAGCTTCTCTATTATGGTTTTTTGCATTGCAGAATTCAACAATCTATAAAGTTAATATGTTGAAAAATTATTTACTATACATTTTTAAATCTAACTACAGAACTTGAAAAAATTAGTCATCTATTATATAAATATGATTGTTCTTTTAAGGAAATATGATTCAGTGAAGGTCAATATTATATTAAGGTGGATTTTACATAATACAACTGTTAATAATAATAACAGTAATAAAAGCCAATCCTAGCTGAGTGCTTACCATGTGTCAACCAATATTCAAAACTGTATTAATACATCTAATCCTTCGGATCCCATAGATATTTTTAAAACATAATAATATAACCTTTGGTCATAAGATCTGGAAATAATTGGCATACTTACAGAATAAATACTTTGCATGAACATTATGGATGCCTTTTCTTTCTGAACTTTATTAGGGAAGAATTGACAGTCTTTTGTATACAGATTTGTCTGAGGATCAATTCGGCAGTTTTTATATATACAGTTGCCTTGTTGACAGTGATAAACTTTATTCATGCCAGAGATACCTGTTGAACACCTGAAAATTTGTGATAGTCTTTTAACACATTTTGAAAATTAATATCCTACTCAGTCCACATTTAGCATTGATTCTTAGCCCCCTTTTTTCATTCTTGTGTAATTTCAATAATTTTGATCTTTTCTGAGCATATAGTACAACTCTGCACCCACCTTCATCACCAGTGAGTATTAGCAGCATTGGAAAAAGATATAAAATATGTCCAATTGGCTACCAAGTGCTTTAAAAATTATATTGGCAAGCTACTTTAAGAATAAGTTTTCTAAAAGAAAAGAAATACTTTTTCATAATATAGCATCTGCTTCAGGACAAAAAGAAATTATTGGTATTAGAAAAAAATCAAATTAAGGAAAATAGATCAGTTGCACCCTGAAGTCATTTATGAATATTTAAATGGTCATACCTTGTTGCTTCAATTTTTTTTGACTTGGAACTGTAGAAAGGTTCATCTTCATTGTACTCATCAAATACTCCCCACCGGAGATGGGCCCACTCATGGACAAACACTCGACCTGTAGGAAGATATTTCAATACTTGTTCATAATTTAAGGCACAATTTGTTTCTTTAATACTTTAAGAAGTGTTTACATTTTTGTTCATAAAAATCTTATTATATGAGAAAGCTTCAAAAAGTTTGCAGAAGAGTCCCAGTGTCTTTTAATTCCATTTCTCCATGAACTTTTCGAAGCCTTCTGGTTCAAAAAGTCTGCTGTTGCTTTTTAATTCTACAATATTTTAAATCAATACAACATTATAACGTCCTTACTATGAGCTGAATAGACTGGGCATTGAGCTTTTGAAGCTAGATTGTTGGAAGGCCTATAGACAACATAATTAAGAATCTTCTATAAGACAGAAGATACATTTGTCTTTCATCCTTATCATTCATCCTTCCATTTACCTAACCATTAATTTCATCTTTTATTCACTCACATTTTATTGTGTGGTCTACTGTGGCGCTGTAGGGTAAGTGCAGGACTACAAGGTCAGTCTGAACCACAGGGTTGGAGGTTCAAGCTTGCCAACCACTCCTTGGAAATGATGTCCAGGGTGGCTATGGGTTGGAACTGACTTGACGGCACTTAACAATAACTAGTCTTTTTTTTTTTTTTTTTTTAATGCTTTATTGTAAATTATGTGATAATTTTCATGGGAGAACATTGGTTTTACATTCATTCTATTGTATATCGTTTTATTGCCATAGTTACAATCCCATTCATGCATCATCAACCAACCAAAGG